CGGAGGTCGCCGTCCATGTACTCAAAGACAAAAAAGAGCTCATTCTTCTCTCGCACCACCTCGCGCATCTTGACGATGTTTGGGTGTCCGTGAATGCGCCGCATCACCGTCACCTCGGGCAGCTTCACACACTCCTCCCAGGAGTAGTACTTTTGCTTCATCTTTTTAATCGCCACGAGTTGTCCCGTCTTTTTATGCAGCGCCTTCACGACGCAGCCGAAGGTCCCATCGCCCAGCTGATTAAGAATCTCGTAATTTTCCATTTTCACACAGACACAAGAACGCAGAAAAGCTATACGTGCCTTCTTCTTGCTTCACAGGAAATGAGGAATACTGTCTTGTATACAAACAGGAGATGCATGCAGATCTCTGTATGTCTATACACAAATATATACAGAAGGGCGTATGCGCGGCACGTCCTTGGGAAACGGCCTCGCTGTGCAGCTTTTGCCCTCTCCCCTTCCGTCGGCTCTAGTCTGGTGGATGGCCGGCACACCCACGAGGCTGCTCGCGACGCGGCGTCCAGGGCCGAATGGAAAAGGGAGTGAGGGAGCGGGACAAAAAGACGCCAGCCCAAAGGAAAGAAACGAAAGAGAAAAAAGAAAAAGAAAAAAAGGAAGAGAAAAACGCGTGAAGGGAACAAACGACAAATTCTCTCAGTGAAGAAAAAAAAAAACTTGCCTGCGGGAGGCAGCTGCCAAACAAGGCCCAATACCACGCTCTCCAGAGAAACGCCATCGGTTGTTGCCCACCCGTCACTTCTACGCATGTCCCCCACCCTCCCGCGGCCCCCCGCCACACGCCACGCAAAGTAGCGGCGCGGCGGACGGAGGCGTGAGGGCCTCACACACTAAACCAATAAAACATTACTAGCCGCAAAAAACGGCAGCCAAGCAACACTCCTTCTCCCTCGCACAGACCACACCGACTCGGATCCCCTACGCACAGTCCTACTAGCTACGAGGTTGTTGGCTTTTCTTTTCTTTTTTGCTCTTCTTTTTTGCTTCCTTGCCGTTTTGCCTCTTCCTACCTTAAAAAGGATGCTACGACCCCCCCCCCCTACTGGTGCAGCGAATGCGGGTCCGGCGGCCATGCGCCCGTCAGTCCTCCGTGGGCCCCCGCGATCAGCAGCGCCCCGAAAATAAAGTTCGGCAACATGTTGCCGACTGTCCAGAATCCCAAGACAAAGAACTGCTTCGTGAAGCTCCTGGGCACGTAGACGGGCTTCAGACCGTCGAACTTGAGAGGCACCACACGCCCCTTCCCAAGGGGAGCCGCGACTCCGGAATACAACGACAAGGCACTACGGCGAAGCATGTCTGCTGAGCGTCAATTCCCTCCCGCACACCTTCTCGCCGGGGCAAACCAAGAAGGAAAAAATGCAAAAAGAAAAAAGTTACAGCGGGAAGAGGGAGCAGGGAGGTGAACACGGAGGCAGAGGCCAATGGGCGGGGCACAACAAACGCCGCTCGCCTCAACGGCACTGTCGCTCGCCAGCGCCGGCCGCGGCGACGGGAAAAGCGAAGAAACAAGGGGTAAGTAAAGAAGATATACTTAATAAGGAAGAACAACAAGGACTAAAAGAGCTACCGCGAAACAAAGAGGGAGGGGGGTGGAGAGCGAAGGAGGGAAAAAACTCGCACCCCCACAGACACAAAATACTCATAATACGATCCTATTTCTTACTTCTTCAATACGTGGTGCAACGACTTCACGCTCAGCTGAGAGCGACTGCAAGAATACGTACAGGTGGGGAAGCAGTGTCACAGATGACACCGCGGTAACAATGATGCCCAAACCGTACGAGACTTCCAGTGACCAAGGCCTGTTCAGCAGCCATGACAAGGCTACTTGACCCACGTAATTTAGTGGAATCTCAACTGTGCAGAGAGACAAGACAAGAAGCAACAATTGTTGCCAAGACTCGACAAAGTCGGTCAAAATATACTCGAGGGCCCACATATTGAGACACAGAGCAACCATACTGTATAGTCCCAAGACCCAGTGGTAAAAGTTGGCCGCCGACCACACAACCCCTTCATCTAGACCGGTGAGGAGGTACATGCACAATTTCAGGTAATAGCCACCACCCCAAAGCAGAAAAAGAACGAAGAGTAGACCCAAGGTGCGGGCGGCCAGGAACCGGCACGCCGGAACGCAAACTGGGCTGTGAAGGAATTCATCTGGTGATACCGGAACTCGCTCCAACAATATAATATATGGTGTTTTGCATTCCGCACAAACTCTTCTATGCTCCGCGTTTGTCGTAGTGGCACGCCACCTTTCCAAACAGCTTGTATGCACGTATTTAGAAGAGCCATCACAGGCACATGGGGCAAATAATTCATCCACCGGTTTCTTGCAGCGACAGATGCGGCATATGTGTTCATCGCCATCACTCTCTTCTTCACTACTATCATCCACCGCCACTGAGGTGTTTTGTGGTTCAAGCTTATGGTGGGTTTTCTCGGCTGTGGCCTCCTCCCGCATCTCGCAGTCTGTCACGACGGGCGACCGCGTTTCCCCCCACCTGCGACGCGGCCAACAGCGGAAATGAGGGCACACTGCGCGTTGGGCCACGTGCAACTGAAAGGCGACTTTCATGCAAGTCTCCTTAGCAGCCATCATGATCCGGTAAAGTTGCTGGCATTGTCCATCATCCGATTCATTTTCCTCATAGAGAACAGTGACGTGGCGTTCATTCAGCGCAACCGGCTCTGAAAGCCGCATCCCCAACTCCTTCGTGCCCAGAATGAAACACACCACCACAAAGGCGCAGACCACAACCAGGAAGAACTGGCCAAACAGGGTTGAGGTCAACCACATTGCCCAATTACGGGATTCGCGTGTGTCAAGCAACACAAAGACAATGTCGACATCCGTGTAGGATTCATGAGGCATCGTGCCCTGAAGCCGTAGAGTCCAGGGCTTGTTCCAAGCCCCAAGAAGCCCCACATGAAAGATCATTCGTCCAGTGTACCTCTCAAGCGGTATCTCCTTGAAGCTCGTGGTGTACGTCATGTAACGTGCCTGAAAGCACTCGTCGGTAAAGTCGTTACAGTTCTCGATGAGTTCGTAGCGTCGCACAATGCCAGCGGACTTCGAAGCCTCACCCCAGGAGTCGCCACGCGGAACAGGAAATGTTACGCTGGTGTCGTTAAGGGCCCCGCGAAAGATGCGCCCGGCGAGGTCAACCTTGCTGTTCGGTGTGGAGTCCTGCCACAGTGAGGCCGCGAAATTCTCCTCCCATCCGCCACGGAACCGCAGCAGCACATGCCCCTCAAAGCGGCTCAGGGAGCAGGAAGGCGCCGTGCCCTCGCCGCGGCGATCAGGCACGTGGGTGGTTGCGAAACAGTACGGAATCAACAAAAGGTCCTTCTTCAACTTCGCCTCACCTCCGTTGCCTTTTGCGCCGCCCCTCAAAGGCAGTGTCGCTTGAAGCGCATACACCCGTGCGGGCCGCCTCCCACCACCCACGGTGCTGCGTCCACCGAAGTCAATATCGCTCCAAACGGTGGAGGACATGACACTGCGACGCTCGACGTCAAAAAGAGCCACCGCCGGTTGCTGAACTGCATCGCTGACAACGACGGAGCTCCACACGAGCACAACGAGGCCAAACCAAATGTACCAACTTCTCGCGCGCATCATCCCTTGACTAGCAAGCCGGAGACAACAAATCTAAGGGCAAACATATATAAATGTATATCAATGCACGGGGGGGGGGAACAAATAAAAAAGGAAGAAAAAAAGTTTGTCCATAAAACCAGCAAAAAGGCGAGGCAAAGCACTTTCTTTCTCCTGCGATTTCCTCAAAATCTAGTGTACAAACCGAACTCGGCACGGAAGACGTCATTTACAAATATAACGTCTGCATCGTCTACGGCAAGGCCTCCGATGCAATCTCCTCCACGATGCTTCGCAGAGTCGCTTTATCCGCGTCTCCCAGTAGCTCCTCACAAAATGCACTCACCTCCGAATGCACATCTTCCTCAACCCAGCAGTGCACAGCAACCTCTGCTAAACGCTCAATGGCCGCCTCTGTGTTCTTGCGAAGAGCGCACCGCATCTCTTGTTCGCTCTTCGCTTGGGAAGGAGCCGCCCCTAGCAGCACCGTGTCGTTGATGCGCCCTCGAAGGTACTCCACCTTCGCCGCCAGGAACGCCAGCCTCAGTCGATAGGCCGCAACAGTCTCAACGAGAAGGCCATCGTGGTAAGATGGCAGCAATTGGGTTTGCTCCCAATGAAGCCTCTCCGCCCTCCCCGCCGCCAAGAATGACGAGATCACGTCGTCAGGGCGAGCACACGTGGAGGAGGGAGTCCGCCCTGCTCCACCGCCGCCACTTGTACGCCCCGGGGGGCTCGGGGATGCCATGGCAGCTCACGGAGGATGAAAATAAATAAAACGCGGGCAAAGAAAAAAAAAGGGGAAAAAAAACTATTGCAAGAAGAAGGTCAATCGTCGGCAAAATACGGCGGGGAAGTTGGGGTGGGCCTAACATTTCATATTTCCCTGACGTCCCCCAACTTGCTTCGGCAGACACCCATCACAGGGGCACGCACGCGGCCAGAGAGGGAGAGACTCATTGCACGGCCGCAGCGCCCTCCACAAGCAGTGGAGATGATACAACCAACGTGCATGAGAGCTGGCTGTGGTCAACAGAGAGAAAGCAGCATCTCGAACGCCTTGCACAAGTGGCGCAAAAGATAAATAGTATCGTCCGCGGAACCGGCAATGGCGCGCCCTCCAACGTTCCCATCAAATTCCCACCACGTGACGCTCTCGCAATGGGTTCGCTCCCGCATGCCCATGGCAACGACAAGGACGTCGGCGTCGGCGTCGAACGCGTGCGACGCATGTAAGTGCAGAAACGAGCCCCCGCCCCGTCTCTGCACGTGGGGGCGAAGGCCGCCCACCCTTCCCAGACGAATTACCGGAGATGCATCCCAAAGAGCAAACCACAGCGGCAAACATAATCCGCCGCCTCCCCTTCGCTCACAGCCCCGTCCAGCGAAGGCACGTCCCATTGCAGCTGCATTCCTCCTTGGGCATCGTGCTCAACGCTACCGCCACCCCCTATTCGTGTCGAGCGGCGAACCGTGCATGCATGCACACGAGCAACCAAACTTAAAAGCAGTGAGAAGCAAGAAAGGCCCGAGGGAGCAGATGTAGCGCAGAGACACAAACAACGAAAAGCAAAGAAAAACAAGAAGAATAAAAAACAAAACGAAACTCCATAACTTTCTCATAGCGGCTCTCTCAGGACAGCAAGGGACACCTTTTTTGTTTCCTCTCTCTCTCTTTTTTT